TCCAGAACTTAAAAGTCATGTTTTATGCATAAAAATGGACAAATTTATCCCATTTATCAGAGTGTGAAAGTGTAAAATCTAAAAGGAATCATCACATTTACAACTTTAGATGTGACTTTTCATCCAAATCATGTAAAAATAAACTGTTTACTCAAACCAAAGTCTCTAAAAAACAAAAAATTCTGCACTTCTCAGCACAACCATGAAGCCACGACTGCCTCAGCCTAAAATATGACGACAGAACAGTTCAAGGTTGTAGAAAATATATTTAAATGCAGCAAAGAAATTAAACTATAACAGAGTTTGTTTGACTGTCTGAAACCTAAAACCCACTGGCAGGTTTGAAAAGCAAAAAACTGGAAGAAAGAGCAGAAAGAATTGTTGGATTTTGAACTTTCCAATTGTCCTTGAACTAGCAATCTCTGATGTGCAGTTTGGGCGGAAAGCTTTTCAAAATCTACATTTAAAATCGTGGCCTTCAGTCAAAATCACTTCATTCTACTTGTCTAGTTAAAAAAATTCAATCAAATAACAAAAAGTCTGAGCTTACAGTTGAACTGCTGGCAGGGTTGTGTGGAGCAGTGAGAGCGCCAGATTACAAAAATACACCAATTAAAGAATAGAAAAATAAAAGTGAAAATAAAAAGAAGAATAAATAAAAAATAAATGATGTGGCAATATAAAGTCATATTAATCAAAAATGAATCCATAAAAGAAAAGGCTAGTAAAAGTAGAAATATAAAGTCAAATAAATAAATAAAATAATAGTAATTTATTTATTATTATTGTTTTTATTTTTAAAATTTCTTTCTTTTCTTTTTTTGTATTTTTTAAAATATATTATTATTTTTAAGTTATTTTTTAATTACTTTTTAAATTGGTTTTTTCTTTTTTTATTATTTTTTCTTTTTTTCTTTTTTTTCCTTTTTTTTTTTTTTGCTTTTAAAGCGACATTTAAAAGCAAAGGAAATATGTGCAGAAAAAGGTGCGCAGGGAGAGAGATCAGATAAAAGTTTATTAATCCGGAATTAAATTATTTTGCCAGATATTACAAACGCGAATCAATAAGAAAAAAGTACAACACATCACTGAACATACAAATGAGTGAGTTAAAATAAGACGAGAGCAGAAAAACAAATAAATAACACTGGCGATGAGTCGGAGGTGATATCACGTATGATCATGAAATATTACAAATGGGACACAGAGAGAAACTAGAAGAGAGTTTAAGAGAAAAATAAAAAGTATTGAGTCAATAAAATAAATACAGCACGACTCAAAAACAGTACAGAGAGGAGAAGATTATTGGAAGACACATTCAGCATGGTGGAGCATCTTTTTACAACTGGTGAACTGAACAGAGTGAAAAAAAAGTTTGTAAGAATGTAAATAGTTCAATATTTATAGTATTTAGAACCACAGTTATGTCTTTTGTGTGCACTTGGAAAAATGTAAATGTAAATGTAAATTCCAGGTTTTTCCATTTTTTAGAGAAGACATAATTAAAGAAATTAAATTTTTTTTTTCTTTTTTTTATGATTTATATTGCGACACAAGACATTTCTGGGTTCTCTCTCCTTCTTTGTGGTTGTGATGTTTCCATAGAGGTGCAGGACTTTATGTTGCAGTGAAAAATGAGTAAAAATGCTGCTCTCTGCTCGTCCCGTCAGGTCCGTCGTTCAAAGCCAGCAACCTGAAGGCGGAGAGGAAGCTGGAGTTCATGCCGACCAACCTCCACGTTCAGAGGATGAGGGTGCAGGACGAGCTGGGCTTCGGTGAGACACCAACATGTCTTTAATCGCAATTTTTCAGCGCAAACCTACTAATTTTTAATTCCTAACGTCCCTGCGTCGGTTCTCCAGAGCACACCTACGACGTGGTGACCATCGGCGCTCCAGCTGCTCACTGTCAGGGCTTTAAGAACAGCGGACTGAGGAAGCTCATCCAGAAGTTTGAGGAGGCAAAGAAGCAGTAAGTTCACCAATCTGTCCATAAAACAGCAAAATGAAATTTAAAAAGGCATGTTTTACCTCCTCAGTGATCTCTGGTCTTGAATCTTGTGTTTTGCTTCATTCATGATATGATTTTATTGGTTCAGATGGTTCGAATGCTTTGATATTTTTTTTACATGAAATGACTGCATTGTTTCTCCAATTTCTGCATTTCTTCTGCGGTTCAGTTCTGTGGCTTCCTCTTAATTTTCTTTTTGTTACTTTCTTGATCAGCGTATATGAGGAGGAATGGTGAGTTGTTGCATCGCTTTTGCTCGTTTCCATTCTGTTTGCCTCCATAAAAACTGCTGTCACTGTTCCTGTAAGACAAATAGTCTCCAGCGTTGCCGATGAGCTGGTGGGAAGTTTTGGTGTGACTTGCAAACACTTGATCACAAAACTTATATTAATAGCAGCAAAGGTTTGAAAGTGAGTCAGACGTATGTGGTCTGAAACAAAGGTCACGTTTTATAACACAGTTTGTCGAAATGCCGCTCATTTTGTGAACTCAGTCTGTGTTTGAATCTCATAAAAACACACATCTGCACAAAACTTAAACGCTGGCGTTAAACTTCTGAGTTTGTAAAGTGAGCGGTATCACCCACAGTCCTCAGTGTTTATCCAAGTCAGTTTTATGTTGTCTTTCCTGAGCCACTGGCCGTGTTTCCATCATGTGTTTTCACGCTTATTTTCTGATATCGCTTTAGAAAAAATAAAAAAAACGTCCCTGAACAAACATTTTTACACTCGCTTGAGGTGGATCAGACTTTCATGGGAGATGGAAACACCTTTTTTAAAATAATTTCTTACGTAGCAAATGTTTAACTCACGACTGATCAGCTGTTTTCTTTCACCGTCTTTGTCTTCGAACATGTCTGATTTCAAAAGCCAGAAAAAGGATTCAAGGAACTTTATTGTCAGCTCACATTTACATGTTTGTGGTACGATATTGGTGCTCATGTCCCGGTTTTTAAAAAGCCTAATAAATAATAAGTACAATATAAAACTAGATCAACATAGAAGTAAAAATACAGAAAGTCCTCAACTTTCCTGAAGACTCAACTTTTCTCTTGGAGATGTATGAAGTTTGTTTCTTTTTCTTTGAGCTTTACTTTCCGGTTTCTTGGTTTTCTTCTACTCTGCAGCCATGTCGCGTACAGCGCCCCCTTCTGACACGATGTAGTTTGTTAGCTCGGAAACAAGCCAAGCTCACATTTACTTCCTGTATTTTTTTTTGCAAATTCTCTCGACAACAATATGGAAACACGGCTACTGATCAGGACCGTCAAGAACAGGCATGTGCATGCAAACACTATATTTATGTCTGTAAATGTCTGTAACATTAACAAAGCTGTACTTGAGTAACAAAGGAAGGGAAGTAACACTTAATTTATGAAACGGATCCTCTGAGACGCAGCAGCTAATTCTCGGGATGTTGTTGATTATTGTTCGAGCGATTAATTATTTTAACCGAACAAGAATATATTAACTGATAAGGCAGCAGGTGAATGACATGCATGTTAGATAATGTACTGTAGATCAGCTGTAGTACCTCGTTGTTCCACCAGGTGGAGCCTCTTGATGTCGCTCGGACACCAGGTAGTTTAGGTTGGGAAACAGAGAGCATTGTGGGGGTTTAGCTAGCAAGGGGCACCATGACAAAGACTTATGTGGCGGTAAACAGACTCTTGATTGACTGATTGGTTGAGGAAATGATACAGAATTTGCAGCGCTAGTTAACTCTTCACATGATAAGTATGTAAATATAAGAGAGTGTCGTCAGCTCAGAGACAAACGAGTCTTTGTTTCCTGCAGCAGCGCCCTCTCCAGCTCGCAGTCCATCGTCTACATCCCGCAGGACATCGTCCGAGCCAAAGAGATCATCGCCCACATCAACACGCTCAAGACTCAGGTCAGCTACTACGCCGAGAGGCTTTCGCGGGCCGCCAAAGACCGATCGGCCAGCGGACTGGAGAGGACGCTCGCCATTCTGGCTGATAAGGTCAGAAGAACTGTTCGGTTTGTTTGGATGGCACCTTTAAAGGCAAAACGGAGGCAACAGAGAGCCCTTCTCCTTTTCAGACTCGTCAGCTGGTGACGGTGTGCGACTGCAAACTGCTGGCGTCGGCCATCCAGGCCCTGAACGCGGCGCGGCCCGAGTACATCGCCTCCAAAGCGTCTCCTTCCGCCGAGTCGGAACAAGTAGTCCTCCGCAACGACCAGGACACGCTGCTGGCCAAGTGGAGCGGTCGCAACAGCCGATCTTCGCTGCACGTGGACTGGCACGAAGAGGAGTGGGTGAGTTCTCCAGGACGTTTTTTAAAGTTTAGATTTCACCACGAGAGGACAGAGCAGCTTAGTTTCGTTGACATAAAGGGACGTCACTATGTTCATTATTACAGTCATTAGTCTAAATCTGCAGTGTTGTTCTCCGTATCCCCGGGCAGCCTGGCACGAGTTATGTAATGAAACTCATAAATCTCACTTGTGTGATTCATCTCGTAACTCGTGCATCCTCTCTCGCCTCCGGCTCAGATCTTTCCTTTGCTGTAATTTTTTTTAATAGCTTCGCAGCTCTTTTTTGCTGCATCCTGCTAATTTTAGCTTGTCTTTTTTTTTTCTGTTTAAATGTACAACTATACCATCTGAACCTAAAGCAGCTTCTTGTTCCCATCTCATTTTTACTCATTGTGGGCTCAATATAAACTCCTGCACCTCCATGGAAACAGAAGAACCATGACGAAGGAGAAGAAACCCAGAAATGTCACAGTTAGAATGACAGAAATAAAAAATAAAAAAGAATTTCTTTGATTATTCATTTCATAAGAATTTAATCAGCATGTACAACATTTTCCCAAATGTCTGTATATGTTGTCAACACTGGGAAAATGCTAATTCTGCATACTATAGATAATCATTTACATATTTAATTAGTTTCCTTAAACACTGCCTGCAGTTCAGCCGAAAAATCCCAGATTGTTTGTCATGTGATTGTTGTTTGCAGCTAAATCACAAATGACTTCTCAGTTTTTTATAGAATCTGTTTCATGCAAATGTTTCATTTTTGGTAAATTTTTTATTGGGACTTGTAAAGTCACCCACAAAACTTATTAATGTAAGCTTAGATTTGGTTGTTTTTTCCCAACAGAAGCTCAAGTCAGGTGAGTAGTTAGCTCAGATTAAATTAAATCTAATGACAGATGAGTAGTTCAAGGACCATCGCAACGTAGAAAATCTGATGATTCTCTCTGCTTTTATAGCTTCTGGCTGAGTTTTGCAGTGACTTTTGGTGTTCAGCGGGTTAAACATTAAACATTAAATTCTCTGCGTTAAACATGCGTCTGCAGGAGAAGGTGTGGCTGAATGTGGACAAATCCCTGGAGTGCATCATCCAGCGAGTGGACAAGCTGCTTCAGAAAGAGAGGAGGCCAAGCGTGGGCAGTCAGGACAGTTCCCAGAGTGACCTGCAGGGCGGCAGCACCAAGAAAGGTAACGCACTCGCACACGGGATGGACCGAAGACGCTCTCGAGGGTTCTTTTGATTCTGTTCTTGCATCAACCAAATCTGGAAAAGCTTCCCCCCTGACCTCCTCAGAATCAGCTGATGTTGTTAATCTATGATCACTTTAAATATATTCGAGAAGCAGTGCAAAATTCACAGTCACAGGCCCTTAAAGTGCATAGTTTGGTCCTGCTTTCGCTCTTCACATTTTGCAAGTGTCCAATTATTTCTATTTGAGGACGTAGTTTTGCCGCAGAAGGAAACGTGTCTAAAAGATGATCCTGGTATCAAATGTGGGTAAAAATGATCCTTTCATTGTCTAGAACTTGTTCCGCCATCACGCATGCTGATATGAGCCTTGAAAATTTACCCAGGATGCACTTTTTAAAGTTTTCTCTGGTGAATTATCAGACAACAGGAACACATCCAGGATACCCATGATTTCTGTGTCATACACATTAAACTGCTGCAGTTCAAACTATGATGCATCCCATAATATTGATGCTCAGAGGTGGTTTGTAAATGAACAAAAAGCAGATTTAGATCATGTAGTTTTTAGCAGAACTGAGCCCTGAAAGTTTGTTTATCTGCTGTTTCGGTGAAGCTATGAGGCTCAGAAATGATGGAAAAAGTGATTTAAAAGCCTGAAATCTGGACTCATTCCCTCTGTATTTAAAGGGCCTGTAACTCTGCACGACTTTATTAAATATACTAAAGTTATTGTAGATTTTAAAATCAGCTGATTTTTCATTGAATGACCCAGTAGTCATTATTATTTATAGTTTCTGCTCATGTTACCCCAAAACATTCCTGTTTTTAATTATCTGGTTTCTTTTTGCTTCCTTCAGAGTGATGAAAAACCAACAAAAATAGCTAAAATCAGCTTTCACAGGCCTGCAGCTGATCAAAAAATAAACTAACCGGTCATTGATGCACTGATTGCATTCAGTTAAGTATGAATTGACTCTTGTATGGCTGTGAAAAGGTGATGGGAAAAGACGAGCTTTCTGGATCAACCCAGGAAACATGTCGCAGGAGTCTCCATCCTTACCACCACCATCATCATCATCACCTTCATCATCAGAGCCTCCTCCACCTTCATCACCGCCTCCATCCTCCTCCTCCTCCTCTGCACGTCCTCCCAGCCCCGAAACCTGTACGTTTATTTTTCTGCTTCTGCTTCTTCCTCTTCTGTCGCCGCGCTCATGTCACGTTTTCCTTCACCTGACAGAGTTTTTTAATCGAGGCAGGTTTTGTTGAATTATTTGTCGGCATTTTGTTATGTTTTGTGTGCGATATTTGTCTTTTCCCTCCTGTGCTGCAGTGTTATTGTAGCTCTGAGCTGAGTCGTATCTGAGGTTTTGTACATGTTGTGCCGGACCGGGGTCAAATGTCTGTCCGAGCTTGAGTTTACTGAGGAATGAGATGTAAAAAAAAAAGGTCTTTCGTGGTTTCAGGCGGCTACTTAGACTTAGGTTTCTTTGCTCCTGTCACATTTTTACTCACCGTGGACTCGTCCTGCACCTCTTTGGAAACAGAACAACCGTGAATAGACGTAGAGAGAACCTAAACATGTCTTCACTCCATTAATTTAACTATAAAATTTGCAAAAACCTAAAAACATAATTCCAAATTTCCACCAACACCAGAAAGAAACGGTTTCTCCACATCCAATTTACTGCTTTCAACTGCGTCGAGGAGCAAAAATTTTTAGTTTTTAGCTGAGTCAGATTGGAGAAAATACTTTTTTTTGCAAATTTTTTATACCAGACATGTAGAGTTTGATGTTGATATTATGTCTGTGGACACTAATTATCTTAATGTGTCACTGTTATTTCAGATGTCTGTGGTTTTTATCTGGCTTTAATATAAACAGCTACAAAAAAAAGGATCAGACAAGAAAAGTTGAACAAATGTTTTATCTGAATTAAATCTAGTAGGTACAAAACAAAAACTGACCCTATAAAAATCCCAAACTGTACCTGAAAACTTTCAATTTTTGTAAAATAACTGTTGATAATAGCTGAGTCAAGAATGGCTTTGTAGTTGCGTCGAGGAGCGCAGATTTTTTAGTTTTTTACAGAATCTGATTGCTGCGAACAGTTTATTTTTTGTAGCTTTTGAAATGAGATGTAGAGTAAAACAATTCGATTTTACGCTTGGATTTGGTCACAGATGAGTAGTTCAAGGAGCATCTGAAAGTTGAAAATCAGTGGTTTCATAAATCGTAACAACTAAACTGTCTATCTTATTTACAGATGCTTTTTAAACCACGTGCTAGATTTCTTTACTTGTTTCGTGAAAATCAGCATCTGTTTTGGAGCTATTTACATTTAAAATTGTGCGTTTTGGAATAAACTTTATTCCCTTCATGAACTCAGATTAGCTCACGAAATTAGATTTTTGTTTTTGCGTTAATCAAAACAGATCTCTATCGATAATTAGTGAAAACGAGCGTTCTAACCTACGTCGAAGGTCGATGTTTGACCCCGGTCTGCACTGTTTTCTGTGTGTCTCTGCTGCCCCCTGTGGCTAATCACGCATGTTGCGCCTCCATCCTCTCCTCCAGATGCGAGCCCCGGTGCTGAGGAGGCGTATCCAGGTAAGAGCTGCCTGTCCTCCATGCTTCTCTCTCCTGTCCCACCTCTCCAGGACCACATCTGCGTAGATAACCAGCTTCTACTGAATTTGTTAACCAGCTGCGTGCAACACGACTTTAGTTCTCTTCATTCATGGTTTGAACACGACCTATGAGCGCTTTAGCAGGGAAGAATTATAATTATGGGAACAAACGAACTGAAAAAGACCAATCTGACAAGTTCACATCTAGAACCTGAAGCGATAAACCCCAAAGTCTGAAGACGACGAGTTGGACGAAGGTTTCTGCCACGTTGGTTCATCAAAATGCAGCCACATGTGGGCAGTTAGTTCAGACTTCATAGCCTTGTTTCCTTCCTTCCTTCTTTTCTTCCTTTTCTCGTTCCTTCTTTCCCTCCTTCTTTCCTTCCTTCCCCATTTCTTTCCATTCTTGTTTTCTTCTCTCCTCCTTGTTCCCCTCTGTACTTACCTATTTCCTTCTGTTTCCTTTCTTCATTGTTTCCTTTCTTGCTTCCTTCCATCTGACCTTGTTTCCTTCCTTCTCCCCTTCCTTCCCTGTTTCATTCCTTCTTTAATTACTTCTTTTGCTTGATTTCATCCTTCCTTGTTTCCTTCCTTCTGTTGTTCCTTGTTTCCTTCCTACCTTGTTTCTCAGTCTTTCCCGCCTTCCTTCCTTGTATCAGGTGATGACGTCATAGTTTCAATCAGGCGATGACGTCATAGTTGCGATCAGGCGATGATGTCATAGTTTCAATCAGGCGATGACGTCATAGTTGCGATCATAGTGATTACGTCATAGTTGCGATCATAGTGATTACGTCATAGTTGCGATCATAGTGATTACGTCATAGTTTCAATCGGGCAATGACGTCATAGTTGCAATCAGGCAATGATGTCATAGTTTAGGCGATGATGTAATAAACCAGACGTCCTGGAGCTTCAGTCTGATTGGTTCAGTCTCTGTCAAAGCTTCTGCTTCCTGTTGTTTCTGTTCATCTGTTTTTTATTTCTGTCTAAAAAAATGTCCAAATTAGCTCCTGAATTCACTTTTAATCCCGTTTGAATGACCTGATATGATACCAAAGAGATATTTAACCCTTCAGACTCTTCACTCCTTCTTCACTTCCTTCTTTCCTTCCTTCCTTCCTTCAATCCTTGGTTCTTTCATTCCTGTCTTTCTTGTTTTCTTCATTGTGTCCTTGTTTCCTTCCTTGAGATTTTCCATCCTTCTTTTCTTGTTTTTGTCCTTTCTTCCTTCCTTCTCTCCTTCCTTGTTTTTTTTCCTACCATCCTATCTAGCTTCCTTGTTTACGTCTTTTCTTGTTTTCTTTCCTCCTTGCTTCCCTCCTTCCAAGAATTTATTTCCTTCTGTGAAGAAAAAGAAATTAGTTCTTTTCTTTTTTCCATTTCTTTTGTTTTTGTTGTTTTATAGTTTCAATCCCTCCTGGTTTTCTCCTTCCTTGTTTCCTTCTTCCCTTCTTTCCTTCCTTTTTTTCTTGTTTTGTCTTTGTGTCAAAGTTTCCTTCCTTCCTTTATTGTTTCCTTTTTTCCTTCCTTCTACCTTTGCCTTCTTTTTCTGTCCTTTTCACTCCTTTTTCGTTCCTTTTCTCTTTTTTCCCTTACTTGCTTCTTACTTTCCTCCTTTTTATCTTGAAATGATTTTGCTGAACTCTCAGATGTTTCATTTTCTCAACATCACGGCTGATTAGTTTGAGGATTCCTTCTTTTTTCACAGATTTTTCTGGCTGATAGATTTTGTGATTTTTCTTTTCCTTCAAGACGAGCCTAATGCTGTGTTATTAATCCACCAGGCGAGTGGAGCGAGGCGCTGTACCCCCTCCTCACCACGCTCACCGAGTGCGTCGCCATGATGAGCGACAAGGCCAAGAAGTCGATGGTGTTCCTGTTGATGCAGGACAGCGCTCCCACCATCGCCATGGACGTGTCGCTGCAGTACCGCCGCGACGTCGTCTTCTGCCAGACGGTCAGACTTCACCTTTACATAAGCGAATCTGTAAATACTACCGACTTCGCCGCGGCTTCACCGTGCGTCTGTTAGACTCTGGAGTGAAGTGAAGGTTAAAAACAGGATCAAACTCCTACTCGGCTGCCAGAGACGGTTCAGCTCTTCTGGGCCGAAGTTAAAAACAGGATCTCGAGTCTTTCTCTGATATTTTTAGATCCTCGTACTATTGAGGTTTTGGCAGAAACAGTCAAGTTCAGTCAGCAGCAGGCTTCCACAAAAACTACTCATCAGGTAGATAGAAGTAAACAATGAGAAGAAAACTGATAAACAGAAGATTTCCAAACGTAGATAACAAATATTCCAGCTGCTCACATGTGAGGATTTTCTGCTTTTCTTGATCTTATGCTTTTATAAAATGAGAACCTTTGTGCTTTGATTATAAAATAATCAATTTAAAGACCAATTTTCTAATGTTATCAGATGAAACTATCAATAATTTGATCAGCAAGTTCATCTAAATGTCATATTAAATTGCAGATCAAGTCAGAAAGTTTTTCATATGTGAGCCTTTTACTCCACTGTTCTCATAAAAAAAACAGCCTGTTACATGAAATGATCGGGACGGTGCTGAAACCCCCCGGTGACGCCGAGCTGCACAGGATTTCCTTCACACTCGGATGCATGCGGTTGCGTCCAGTTACATAATCTCATGAGCAGCCAAGCTTTACTGTCTATATATAAAACCATACGTTGATTTGAATCGTGCAGACTAACCCCCCCGGAGGCCGAGCAGTTTCTGTTCCTTTTTACTCACTGTGGGCTCATTTTTAATCGCAATATGAAGTCTGTGTGGAAACAGCACGAGTAGAAGAAGTAGAGAGAACTTAAAAGTGTCTGACAGATTGTTATTATTATTTATTTTGCAAAAAAATCTGGGAACAAAATGGCCTCAACGTGTTCTGCTCTGTGTGAACGCTGCCTGCAGATCTATTTTTTTAGGGAATCTGGTGCTAATGGTTTATTTTTGGTAAAAAAAAAATTTAATGAGACATAGAATAGAAGATAAAATATCAACATTTTCAGCTTAGATTCGGTTCATTTTTCTGACAGAACAGCATGTTGCAGGGGACTAGTTCAGAGACTGTTTTTTTTTAGTATGAAAGCATCTGGCGCCGATAAATGGTTTAATTTTGGTGATTTAAAAACAATGAATAAATAACATGCCTTTCAAAACTGCAGGAGGGTTTTGGGGTCCAGATAAGTAATAAATTGGCTCTTTTCTGCTCAAACCTTTATGAGTTTTTTGGTGAAAGTGTGATTAATGCTTCAGATTGTAAATATATTAGTATTCTGTTAACTCCTTTGTAATTAAACTCTTTTGTTTTCATATTTAATAGAAGAAGAAACAGGAATGTTTGTTGTTTCAGGCCGTCTGCAGGATCTTAAAGAGTTTCAGTCTCTAATATGTAAATTACTCTGTTAAAATCACACCATAAATGACACAACAGTCTTAACTGACATTTTTAAACTTGTTAGGTTAATTAACAACTGGAAGCCACTGTTGTTTTAACTGTGCTTTACGATTAAATCACTGAATTCATTCATTGAGACTGAAGGATAATTAAATGTTTCATCCCTGTTAATTTTCCTTCACAGTCTGACTGAAATCACTGCTTAACAGATATTAGATTATGTTCTGTTGAAACAAATCTGAAAGCTGTGGCTGCTGCTCACACACAGTGAACACCAGATCTGACGTTGATGTGTTCATGCAGCTCACCGCGCTCATCTGCGGCTTCATCATCAAACTGAGGAACTGTCTCCGTGACAACGGGTTCCTGCGACAGCTCTACACCATCGGCCTGCTGGCTCAGTTCGAGTCCCTGCTCAGCACCTACGGTACCAACACGCCCTCAGATCACCTCCGTCAGCTCTGCCTGGCGTAGTGTTTCCACCGAACAGTGACTGACTGACTGTGTGTTTGCAGGAGAGGAGCTCGCCATGCTGGAGGACATGAGCGTCGGCATCATGGATCTGCGTAACGTCACCTTTAAGGTAGAAGAACACACCCTGAATGTCTTCGTTTACAGTATTTATACATATATGAGATCATATTTACATGACAGGATGTAACATGAAGCACAGATAGGTTTAGAGACGGCAGAATCTCAACAACGGCGTCATTTCTAAGTTAAAAAGTCGAGTATTTCTTCTTATTTAAACAGACTTTATGTGTACATGAGGGCTCCACATGGAAAAGTAAAGCCAAAGGAGCTGAAAAATCTGTAACACTTCACAAAACTAAAAAAGGATCCTCTACACAAACAAGTAAACATTGGGTTTTGCAGCTTTTATATCTATGGACAATAATATCATTGCAATAGTCGTGTTTTTTGTTGTTTTATGTGCTTGTGTGCTGTGTTTTTACCAAACCTCTTTCTTCTGCTTTTCATGACTCTCTCTTGATTAAACAGGTTTTTGTGTTTGGTTTTGATTATAGTTCAGTTATTCCTGTTTTCCTCCAACACAGAAGAAGTAAAGAGGAAAGACTCGTGTTTATTTAAACTGATAGGAGACAAAAAAAGTTGCAGATTCCAGCGTTGACCTGACACAAAACTTTAAACCAGCATATTTATCACCTTTATGCTGCTTTCAGGTCACCCAGGCGACCGGTAGCTCCGCCCCCGACATGCTGCCCATCATCACGGGGAACCGCGACGGCTTCAACGTTCGCATCCCGCTGCCAGGAACCATGTTCGACGCTCTGCCTCGAGAGATCCAGAGCGGCATGCTGCTGAGGGTTCAGCCGGTTCACTTCAACGTGGGCATCAACGAGCAGCAGACGCTGGCGGAGAAGTGAGTAAAAATCAACGAGAAACCGGCGCTTCAGAGCCGCGGAGACGTCGGTGTTGGTAAAACTTTCGCTTCTCTGTGTGAGTTTCAGGTTCGGAGACACGTCCCTGCAGGAGATCATTAACTCGGAGAGTCTCTCCAGACTGAACTCCTACTACGAACAGTTCAAAGAAGTCCTGCCTGAGGACTGTAAGTACAACCTGCACCAGATGGCAGCGCAAGAAAACTTGTGTTGTTTAAGTCTTTAGTCTAACTTACACCAGGATGAGGTCAGAATGTAGGGATTAGCTGATCTACTTGTCCAGTATTGAATCAGTGACATGATAACTCTAGAAACATGCTTCACCAGGCTGGATGTGTCTTCCAACAATGTTTACAGTTTGTGAGCCACGCTGCTTTAATTTCACTGATGCTGCACAATGTGTTTTTCCTTCTATTGTTGTCTCCTCGCTGCTCTGTGTAAACACTGCCTGCAGTTCAACATGACTGTGAGTCGCTAAAGGCTTCTCAGTTGTGATGAAGAGAGCAGATTTTTGGGGTTTTTACAGAATGTAGTTGAAGTAAACAGTTTATTTTAAGCAAGTCTTTAAACGTGTCATGTAGAATCAAGTGATTATGATGAAATACCGCAATTATTTAGTTAGTTTTGCACATCACAGGTGATTGAAAGTGTTCAGTGGCTGTCGGAAAGTTTAAATCTGATGGTTCTCTGTGTTTTTACAGATTCTTGTTCTGATAAATGATGTAATTTTGCCAATATTTTAGTTCCATCCTAAAACTAAAGCCGAACCAGCTCTAATAATATATTACTGAAAGGGAAAATGTCGTATTTACTCTGTTGGAAGCCAGTTAAAGTTCGTCTCAAACTGTGTATTTAATGCGTCTTTTCATGATATTTCCGGCTGCTCTGACTCTTCTGTCCGTCCCTCTGTGTTTGTCTCACCTACATTCAGGCCTCCCGAGGTCTCGTTCTCAGACTTGTCTTCCTGAGCTGCTGAGGTTTCTGGGCCAGAACGTCAACGCCAGGAAAAACAAGAACGTGGACATCCTCTGGCAGGCGGCCGAGGTGAAGCTTCTGCTCAGATACCGACAGAACTTTAGCCAAAGCATTTAATGATGGCAACATGACTGCTTTTAACTCCAAATCAAGGACAGCTGGAGTCCAATCTTGATGCATTTCTTTAAAGAAACGTGCCACGTCACATCACTCATGATAATACAGCTGTACATCTGAGCCGTGGAGACTTTTGTGTCACATTAATTCACATTACTTTATCTCTGTCCGTCTCAGATCTGTCGGCGGCTGAACGGCGTTCGCTTCACCAGCTGCAAAAGCGCCAAAGACCGCACGGCGATGTCGGTGACGTTGGAGCAGTGCCTGATCCTGCAGCACGAGCACGGCATGGCGCCGCAGGTCTTCACGCAGGCCCTCGACTGCATGCGCAGGTAGGACGCCCTCACAGCGCCTGAATGAAAACGCACAACCGCAAATCACACCTGGGCAAAAACAAAAAAACAAAAAAACACTGAAACCAGAGTGAAAACCTGGTCAATCAGTCTTAGTAAACATTACAAATGGAAGAATTTAATCCTTCTAGATGGTGTTTTTAACTACCAAAGACAAAGATACAACATGAGATGAAACTGAGTCAAAAATTCTGTCAAATTAGGACAAACAGACGTATTTTTAGATGCAGTTAACACACAAAACCTGCTGCAGAATCTGCCTGAGAATCGTCACATTTTTAAGTTTTCCTTCCTACTATACTATTCCAGCCATAGTTGCCTTTACTTCCATGGGTACAACGCAAACAAGAGATGCTAACAGCTAATTCGGCGCACTTTTAATGCTGCTTATGTACTAAAATGATAACTTTTTAATCCTCTAAAGCAGTTTCTGGGCGTTTTTTTGGCTCCTTCTGCGTTTTTTCTCGCTCATTTCTCACTGCAGCATAAAATCCTGCACTTTTATGTAAACAGTCTGACAGAAATCATACAGAAAATAAAAATGCTGAATTAGTTAGAACATCTATTTTACAAAAAAATGAAAAAATAACTGTCCACGTGTGTTACCAACACTGACAAAATGTTGGCTCTACATACCGGAGATATTTTACGTTTTTACAGCCTCTCCAGACTTTTCCTCTCCTCTGCTCATCAGTTGTAGAAAGATGTTTCACCGTGATGAATGCATCTTCCAACAACTTGCTGCTCTGTTCACTGTTTCTGAGCCATGCTGCATTTATTTTATTGATCCAGTAGGTTTGATTTTCCTCTTAGTCTCTCTTGTCGTCTCCTCTCTGAGTAAACACAGCCTGCAGTTCAGCCTAAAAGTTGCTGAATTTTTGTCACATGACTGTTGGTCACAGCTGAGTCAGTCACGGAGTCTTGGTTCTGCCAAGAAGCTCAAATTTGTTTTGTTTTTTACGGAATCTCTTTAGATCAAGCGGTTTAATTTAAGCAAATTTTTAAACGAAGCATGTAGAATACAGTGATTTTGATGAAATATCATAATTTTAAGCTCAGATTTGGTCGAGTTTTTACACTGAGTCAATACATCACACGTGATTTGTTCAAGAACCTTCTGAAAATTCCTACGTTTTTGCACTTTCACGCAAGGATAACATGTGCAAATTACAATAATTTTGCTTTTACAATAAATCTACTTTACAATACGTTGATTAAAAAGTGAAACTACATTAACATAAAGTTTTTTCTGAGATTCAGAGATTTGCTTTAAAACGCAGAGACGTGGCTCTGAATTGGATTTAAATCAAATTACAGCAGCCAGTTAATGAAAAAAGCAGGAAATTGCAGCTGGAATCAAAACTGGGGTAAAAAAACAAATTAAAATTACTGGAGAGCTAAATCCAGGTCAAACAGAGCGACTAGATCAACACGCTGCTGCCTTTAAAATCAAAACAAAGTTAAAAAGCTTGAATTTAAATGTGTGTTTTTGCCCACATGTGATTTGAAAAGCCACCACTTGCTTTGTCTGCAAAAAGAACAAACTGGAGTTCACCTCAGAGAGGACGCTGAATGTCAAGGAGTTCAGAGAAAAAGGCTCAAATTTCTCCTGACGTGTTATTATTCTGGAGATGAAAGTTACTCGACTGATATTCAGAGTCCTCCTTCGCTGGTTGTCGTGGACGGACGCTTGTTGGTTTGTCTGAACGTCTGTCTGCTTGTCTTGTCCGTCTTTTTCCTTTATTTTTTTATCATCGAAGCGTTTCACCCGCCATCGCTGACACCTTTTGTTTTCCTTCATGACGCCACTTTTTCGACATTCACTTTTAATTAGCGTCTGCCTGCTGGAAAAGCAGGAAGGAAAACACATCCTCTCACCTTCTCTTATTAGTTTGGTTCAGTCTGTCTTTGTTACACGTTGGAAATTTGCAAGTCGTGAACAAAAGTTTACATACATAAAGACCATGTTCATCACAGCAGTCTTGAGCCTCCATTGACTCCTACAAGTCTGAATTTTCTGTGATGGAATTACTGAACCATTAACGTCTCTGTCGCAAAAAAATGCATTTTGGTTCTTTCATACATTTTTTATTGGCTTTCTGGAAATATGATCAAATCTGCTGGGTCAACAATATACATACAGCAATGCCAGTATTTGGTTTAATGTCCTTTAGTAATTTTCACCTCAATTAGGCGTTTTTGGTTTCCGTTCACAAAATTGTGGCTGTATCTTTGCCTCCTTTTGACAGAATTGGTACTGGGAAGCTAAATTTGTTGTCTTTCTGGCACAGACTTGTTTCTTAATCACAGTCTACAGGTTCTTAATGGAGTTTAAGTCAGGACTTTGGGGACAAAACCTTAATTCTAGTCTGATTTAACCATTTATTTGCCACTTTTGATGCATGTTTGGGGTCATTGTCCTGTTAGAACACCTCTCTGTGTCTAAGACCCAACCTCCTAACTGAAGATTTTAGTTTTGTCCTGAAGAATGTGGAGGTAGCATCAGCTCCACTGGCAGCAAAACTGCCCTGAGCATAATGCTGCCACCGCCATGCTTGACAGTAGGTTTGGTTAACCCCATCAAGAGCCTGTGGACTGGGCCGCCGCTGTAGCTCAACTGGTTGAACTGGTGACCCATGTACAGGGCCTACAGTCCCCGACGCAGCAGCCATTGGTTGGAATCCCACTCATGGCCCTTTGCTACAATGTCTTCACCCCAGCTTTCCTGTCTGTCTCTCTCGACTGTCCGATATATTTAAGGCAAATCGAGCCTGTGGACTGTGCCAAAGAGACAAGTCTGTGTTACAACTGCACCAGTTCTATCACAACATGTGCTCAAAGATACAACCAGCTGCCAAAAGCACCTAATTAAGGTCAAAACGGCCAAATGATGTTTAACCAAATACTAGAACTGCTGTGTGCATATTTATGACCCAGCAGATTTTGGGATGTTTCCAGAACACCTGTGATAAATGTACAAAAGAAGCAAAATGCGGGATTGTTTTATTGTGACAAAGATGAATGTGTTTCAAAGATTTCATAACAGAAGTGTAAGAGTTATAGAAGTCACTGGAAACTCAAGACGGTCGTGATATCCATGGTGTGTACGAGTGTATGTGGACTTTAGCTCCTGAATACGTAGACGTGTCTGAAACCACCAATAAAAACAGGAGAAAAACTGTCAACAGTAATATAAACAGCAAGAAACAGCAAGAAGAGAAACAGTTAAAACTAATTTTTAAAGCTATATATCTTTATTTTATCTATATTTTTTAGATACGTTTTGCCCACAGCTGCCTCATGTAGTCAATAAGTTGTCAATTTATAAATTAATCGGCATCTGTTTCAGTTTGAGCTATTTTTTAAAAAGAAAAAGTCTAAATTCTCTGATTGTGGCTACTTAAATGTGCATATTTATAATATATTATGTGTTTTTTTTCTCCTCTATGACAGAATATTTATCATTTTTTGGAAAACATCAGCATTTTTCACCATTTTGTGTCGTTTTATCGACCAAATAACTAATCAACAATTAAAATAATAGCTAGTCAGCACCTTAAAAACAACATTTCTGACAGTTTTTGTGTCCACAATGCTTTAAAAAACAAAGGCATTGATTTTAAAAGAGGAAACAAGATCCCACCAGACAGGAGACACGGTGACACCAGACCTGAGGTGATTTTATTTTCCCAAACAGGACGTTTATTGATATCGATCGTTGTGTAAATGCGATTTCCCGCTAGAGGACAGTCTATTGCAACTCTGTGTTTGTGTGTCGAGCGGGAACTGTTTGTGTGGAAAAAAAACAAAAAGACGCTGTGTTATGTCATGTTGTGAATATTTCTGTTGAGATGTAATGGCGCCTGTGCAATAAAGTCCCACAGATACGGCATGATACCATGTCTCTTCACCTCTTCTCTTCTCCTCACATCTCCTCCCTTCGCCCTCCCCTCTGCCTCACCAGCCGACGAGCATGAAAACACCTTTTAGAGTTTGATTTAAGACGCATGCCGGAAAAAGCTCGGAGATACTTGTTCCCCTTCCCTCTGAACTTCCCCTTCATTATCCCCTTTTTATCCATGTTCCAACTGAGTAAACCGAATGGACAAAACACCCTTTAAACAGAAGTTAACCCTCAGAGCTCCAGGCAGGTTTTTTAATTTGCTCCTGTCACGTTTTTACTCGCTCATTTTTTTTTTTACTGCAACAAAAAGTCCTGCACAAGCATGACTAGAAGTAGGCAGAGGTGTCTTCTGTGCAGTTATAAGTTCCCTCAAGAGTTAAAAAAAATAAAGAAATTTCTCTGAATATTCATTTGACAAAACTCAGTATACTACAAATATTTATTACTTTTTCTCTCTCCTCTGCACATCAGTTGTAGGAAGATGCTTCCCCATGCTGGTTGTATCTTCCAACAACTTCCCAAGCAATTAATCTTTAGTGAATTTTTTAAATGAGACACGTAGAATAAAGTGATTTTGATGAAGATGTTAAATTCGGTTCAGTTTTCCCAGTGGAGTTAAAAGTGTGATGATCGTTTGTTTGTACAGTTTCTAACGCCGATAAATGTTTTGGCATGATTTTGAAACTAAAATACGCCTTTTAAACGTGTTCAGTGTCGAAGAAAAATGGGATATTTTAATTTCTTTATATTTTTACGTCGACGCATTTTTTTTCTCTGCAACGAACGTTTCTTCCAACCGCACTTCAGCTCAAAACTAAACAGAATTTTTGCCGCGTCACTGTTGGCAGCAGCTGAGTCACGTCTGTGCTCACAGCTGCATCGAGAAGCGCAGAATTTTTTGTTTTTTACAGAATCTCATTAAAACATCCGCTTTATTTTTGGCAAATTTTTAAAAACAGACACGTTGAGCCAAGTTGTTCTGATGAACTATGATAGCTTAGATTTGGTTAATTTTCCTGACTGAACCTCAGATGATTCGCTCAGTCACTGTCAGAAAGTTTAAAAACCCAACAAT